GCTCCTGGGTGGCTCAGGTGGGTAAGTGTCTCCCTTCAGCTCAGGTCATGATCCCAGGGTTCTAGGGTAGAGCCCCATGCCCAGCTCCCTGCTCATCGGGGAGTCTGCTGCTCCTCCCTGCACCACACATTCTCTCTCTTTCAACCTCTCTCTCAAATTAATAAATAAAATCTTAAAAAAGAAAGCTCCTTTCCAATTGGTAAATAGACAGTGGCTCAAGCTCCCTGAATGCCCTTTTACCACTCCAGCCACGTCAGGCCTAGGGAGCCCTGGTCAGCACTAGAGGGAAATAGCCTTATAACTGTCTAAGGCTCCGGCATGCCTGAGGGGTGTCCTATATGTCCCCCATCCTCCCTCTACCTCTCACCATCAGTGATGCTATGAGTACATTCAGACACCAGTCCCTCTGGGAGCAGGATTGTTGTCCTGTAAGGAAATATGTCTAGTGCACACCCGGCCACCCCAAGGCTGCTGTGTCCTGCGGCCTACTGCCAGGAATCACTTTTACTTGGGCTCTTTGGGTCCAACAATAATGGTTGAAATATTTTGACTATTCCCCTTATCACAGCCACTCTACCTGCCCCTAAATATCTGCCACTTTCACCAAGCAGGAGTTAGCACTTACTGAAATGGTTGTGTAAGGGATCCCAGTATCACTTCTCCATATTTTCCTTGTTTACCACTGGATGAGTTGGAATTCACAAGGAAAGGCAGTGTTGCACTGGAGGGGAGGCGGCTTCTAGGCACTTCGGCTGTGTCACATCAGCTATCATTCTTTGAGCCAAACCTATTCACTGGGGCTCAACCACTGTAGTCCTTGGAGGGTTAAGGCCATGGCATCTTTGTTCCATCTGAGTGCACCTCTACTACTACCTCTAACAACTGCCCATCACTAACATCTAGGTTTGGATCTCTGAGTGAAATTGGCTACATAGCAGCTCTCCACCCCAAGAGGGGGCAGGGATAGGGCTTTTTTTTTTTTCCACAACCCACAGCCCTCATATATGTAGATAGCTTCATTATTGCTTTAAAGTTTGGTATGAAAATTAACAGAAAATTTGGGAAATTTGATCCAAGAATGTCCCACCCAAACATTTTCTTCACAGTCTGGTATATTATTTCAGACCCTAAATGGTGAAAAATGCCTTTTGAACATCATTCAACAACAAAGTGTGTGCTGATTTCTGTGGTGTGCTGCTGAGCTGTTGCTAATGGCACCGCAGTTGTGTGCCAGCTGGGAGCGGCTTTCCTTCTCTTCCAGTGGGCTGGGCACTTGCAGTCAAAATAGCTGAGTGGATTTTTTTTCTCTACCACTTCCAAGCTGCATGCCTTGGGGAGCCACTTAGGCTTTCCAAGCCTCAGCTATTTATCTAAAACGAAGCTGGTGTGGGGTTTAAAGGAATGTAAAAGGCCCAGCCCAATGGCTAGCATGTAATAAGAACTCAGTCATTTGTTATTTTTGTTGTTTTAATGCTCTCTGGTATTTCAGTGAGCCAAGAGGCTGCACGCAGGCAAAGCAATGGCGCATTTGGAAGGATGTAGGGAAGGCTCAACCTTATTATTACATAATTGTTGCCGGAAATTCTCCATTAGAGAAACATTCTTTGGATAATCACTTTTTATTTTAAAGATTTTATTTATTTATTCATGAGGGACACACACACAGAAAGTGAGAGAGAGAGAGAGAAGCAGACTCGATCCTTGGACCCGGGGTCATGCCCTGGGCCAGAGGTGGCGCTAAACCGCTGAGCCACCTGGGCTGCCCAGATAATCACATTTTTTTTTTGGATTATCACTTTTTAAAAACGCAAATACCTCTCCGGGTGTACTTTATTAAACTATTAGCATTAATTTACTTTGAAAGGATATGTGGGATTGGCCCCAAAATATAGCATGTCCTAAGCTTTCCCTCCCCTGGGGATTGACAGTAAAGGGAGAAGCAGAAAAAGAAACAACAGAGAGAGCGCGAGCTGGAGAGGTGGGGGTGGAGACTCGGGCCCACTTTGCGCTGCGGGGCCTGAGCACTGAGAGCGCGCTTTCGATAAGCTCTAAAAAGAGAAAACTGGAAGCGGTTAATATTTAGGGGAAAAAAAGCTGATGGGAGAAGGCAAAAAAAAAAAAAAAGGAGGGGGAAAAAGTCTAAACAATTCCGGCCGTGCTTGACACAGTCCTGTCTCAGGTTGGTTCTGCAGGAGCAGACGCCGCGAAGATGGAGCTTGGGGTGCCCTGGTCCTCCTAGGGATGCTCACCTGCAGAGGCAGGTGGGCGGAAGTGGGGGGGCGGGCCTGCCCCCGCCGCGGCCAATCAGTGAGGAGCATGGGCTGACCCCGCCCCTTCCGGCCTGCGCCCCAAGGCCACGCCTCCCCGCGCCTTCGTGCTGGGCCCGTCCATCTTCCCCTCGCGCGGAGGCTCCGGTTGGCAGCGCTGTTGTCTGGGGCTCCTGGGCCTCGCTTCCTGGGGGAGACTTGGAGGGGCGCGGCGAGCGGAGCACGCCCCTGCCCTGCCTTCCTACCTCCTGAGTTCCCGTCACGCTCCGCCTCAGCCGGGAAGCCCAAGGTTCTGGGCACGAGGCCGTCACCGCCGGGCGGGGAGGCGGGAGGGGCCAGGAGGGCGGCGCCCCTCGACCTCCGTCCCCACCCCACGGCGGGACCGCGGGCCTCCGCGCCCTGAGGGCCGCCGGCAGTTGCGCACGCGCTGTGGTGAGTTGTCTTCCTCCCGCCGGTTCCTGTGGCCGGACGCCTGGACGCCGGGTCCCGCGGCCCCGCGGAGCCTCCATCCGGATCGCTTGGTCCATCCGTTCCTGCTCGTGGAGACGCCGCGGGAAGGCCCTTCGGCCTGGGAATTCAGCCGCATCCAGACGGTGGACGCCGTCCTCCCAGGGGCAAGGCCTTGAACACCCTCCCCGGCCAGCAGCCGCTTCTGAGGAACCAGGCGCGAGCCGCCGTGCGGGGCTCACGGGCCGAACCTGCTGCTCCGCGGCTGTGACGTGGCCCGAGCTCTGCTGCGGTGCCGGTGCGACCTCACACCAGGGACGGAACACCCTGGGCCCTTGACGGTGTGGCCCCGAGCTCTGCTGCGGTGCCGGTGCGACCTCACACCAGGGACGGAACACCCTGGGCCCTTGACGGTGTGGCCCCAAGCTCTGCTGCGGTGCCTGTGCGACCTCACACCAGGGACGGAACACCCTGGGCCCTTGACGGTGTGGCCCCGAGCTCTGCTGCGGTGCCGGTGCGACCTCACACCAGGGGACGGAACACCCTCGGGCCCTTGACGGTGTGGCCCCGAGCTCTGCTGCGGTGCCGGTGCGACCTCACACCAGGGACGGAACACCCTGGGCCCTTGACGGTGTGGCCCCGAGCTCTGCTGCGGTGCCGGTGCGACCTCACACCAGGGACGGAACACCCTGGGCCCTTGACGGTGTGGCCCCAAGCTCTGCTGCGGTGCCTGTGCGACCTCACACCAGGGACGGAACACCCTGGGCCCTTGACGGTGTGGCCCCGAGCCCTGCTGCGGTGCCGGTGCGACCTCACACCAGGGACGGAACACCCTGGGCCCTTGACGGTGTGGCCCCGAGCTCTGCTGCGGTGCCTGTGCGACCTCACACCAGGGACGGAACACCCTGGGCCCTTGACGGTGTGGCCCCAAGCTCTGCTGCGGTGCCTGTGCGACCTCACACCAGGGACGGAACACCCTGGGCCCTTGACGGTGTGGCCCCGAGCTCTGCTGCGGTGCCGGTGCGACCTCACACCAGGGACGGAACACCCTGGGCCCTTGACGGTGTGGCCCCGAGCTCTGCTGCGGTGCCTGTGCGACCTCACACCAGGGACGGAACACCCTGGGCCCTTGACGGTGTGGCCCCGAGCTCTGCTGCGGTGCCGGTGCGACCTCACACCAGGGACGGAACACCCTCGGGCCCTTGACGGTGTGGCCCCGAGCTCTGCTGCGGTGCCTGTGCGACCTCACACCAGGGACGGAACACCCTGGGCCCTTGACGGTGTGGCCCCGAGCTCTGCTGCGGTGCCGGTGCGACCTCACACCAGGGACGGAACACCCTCGGGCCCTTGACGGTGTGGCCCCGAGCTCTGCTGCGGTGCCTGTGCGACCTCACACCAGGGACGGAACACCCTGGGCCCTTGACGGTGTGGCCCCGAGCTCTGCTGCGGTGCCGGTGCGACCTCACACCAGGGACGGAACACCCTCGGGCCCTTGACGGTGTGGCCCCGAGCTCTGCTGCGGTGCCTGTGCGACCTCACACCAGGGACGGAACACCCTGGGCCCTTGACGGTGTGGCCCCGAGCTCTGCTGCGGTGCCGGTGCGACCTCACACCAGGGACGGAACACCCTGGGCCCTTGACGGTGTGGCCCCGAGCTCTGCTGCGGTGCCTGTGCGACCTCACACCAGGGACGGAACACCCTGGGCCCTTGACGGTGTGGCCCCGAGCTCTGCTGCGGTGCCGGTGCGACCTCACACCAGGGACGGAACACCCTGGGCCCTTGACGGTGTGGCCCCGAGCTCTGCTGCGGTGCCTGTGCGACCTCACACCAGGGACGGAACACCCTGGGCCCTTGACGGTGTGGCCCCGAGCTCTGCTGCGGTGCCGGTGCGACCTCACACCAGGGACGGAACACCCTGGGCCCTTGACGGTGTGGCCCCGAGCTCTGCTGCGGTGCCTGTGCGACCTCACACCAGGGACGGAACACCCTGGGCCCTTGACGGTGTGGCCCCGAGCTCTGCTGCGGTGCCGGTGCGACCTCACACCAGGGACGGAACACCCTCGGGCCCTTGACGGTGTGGCCCCGAGCTCTGCTGCGGTGCCGGTGCGACCTCACACCAGGGACGGAACACCCTCGGGCCCTTGACGGTGTGGCCCCGAGCTCTGCTGCGGTGCCTGTGCGACCTCACACCAGGGACGGAACACCCTCGGGCCCTTGACGGAAGTGGCCCCGAGCTCTGCTGCGGTGCCCTGTGCGACCTCACACCAAGGGACAGAACACTCGGAGCCCTTGACGGAAGTGGCCCCGAGCTCTGCTGCGGTGCCCTGTGCGACTTCACACCAGCAGACACAACACTCTCGGAGCCCTTGGTGTGGCCCGGGACCTGCAGGTGGGAAGGGCAAGCCTGTCCTCAGAATATGCGGCTTTCCCAGGATCCAAGCAGGATCCAGGCAGCCCAGTTGAGGTTAATTTGTTGCCAAGTTACCTAGTCAGTCTCTTTGGGGGCGTGGCGCCATACCCGAGGCTCAGTGCTGGCGTCTGCTGGACCTTCAGCAGTGCCATTCGTGGACCTGATACCTCTTCTCTTTACATTCGAATTGAATCACCGGTAGCAAAATCAGTTTGGTAAGTGAGAGTCCATGAATACCGTGCTCCTGGCCCAGGTATTGCCCCCATCTTTTCCACTGTGACCAGATGCCAGCCCTCGCATAGCTGATGGCAAAGGGTGGCAGGCACCAACTGAACGTGGTTCTGTTACCTGCTTGATTGCTCATTACCTTGTCTCTGATGGACACTGGTGGATGCCAACATAGGATACACAGACCTTCATACTTTGTGTCCTTGCCCATATGTCTGACTACATGCTCTTTGCTAGACCTCTTTGTCCCCCATCTCCTGATATTTTTCTTTCCATGCCCCTGACCAAAGGCTGGCCCTTTTGATGCCACCTGTGAATCCATAAGTATTCTAACCTTAAGCCATTTCTCTTACTACACAAAATGAATAACCAGGTGTACCTACAAGAAGAATTTTCCCTTGCCACTGTCTTGCAAGGCCACCCCTGAGTGAGGCTGAAAGGCAGCTGCTGTCTACTTTCAGGTTGCCCGCACATACTGACGTGACCCATCCATAAATCAAGCTTAAGCTTTCTCCTCCATCTTCAGTTAGTCATACAGAATCACCCATGCAGCCGTAAAGTGGGAGCTGAGGTGCAATAGTAGCAGGTACGTTGGGGTCTGGTCTCCCTTCTCATGCAGCTTGCTTATGCCCTCTGATCCTGTTCATGCTCAGTCTGGACACCACTTTCATTTTGTTGGGCCAGTCCAACACTGTCTTTTTTTTTTTTAAGATTTTTTTATTTATTCATGAGAGACACAAAGAGGCAGAGACATAGGCAGAGGGAGAAGCAGACTCCTCGCAGGGAGCCTGACGCAGGATCGATCCCTGGACCCGGGATCATGCTCCGAGATGAAGGCAGATGCTCAACTGCTGAGCCTCTCAGGCATCCCCCAACACTGTGTCTTAATGGGGCTTCGGATGGGCAGCTCTAGAAGCTGGTCCCTTGGTGTCCTATGTCAGGCACTCTGTCTCTACCAGTGCCCAGGAGCATGCCAGGAGTTTTTTTCCCCAGAAGACATGGCCTTACTCCCAAGCCTTAGGGACCTATGTTACGATTCTTTCAATGGGGCTTGTCACATACTTCACACGTCGTATTTTCCTTCCATTGATAACACCAGCGGATCCACTGAGTCATATGACTCAAACAGGAGGGCTGCTTGCATTGGAGTCTGGACTTGCTGCAGATCCCTTCCCTGTCTTACAGCTTTCAAATCCAGCCCCTATTCATCCCACTCCATATTTAGGTCATAAAAGTATTGCTAGCGGTATAAGACGATGCCTCCAGAACCCAGAGACACCTACATGGCATTGGGCATCCTTCTTCATTAAAGTTGGTGAAAGATGTAATAGCTTGTCTTTCTCTTTGGAGGGGATGTCCAGCATGTCTCTGACCATACTTTTTTTTTTTTTTTTTAGGACCATACATTTTTTTTAAAGAATTCTAGTTCTTGTATAGGTTTTTTTTTTTTTTTTAAGATTTTATTTATTCATTCATGAGAGACACAGATAGGCAGAGACACAGGCAGGAGGAGAAGCAGGCATCATACAGAGAGCCTGACATGGGACTCGATCCAGGGTCTCCAGGATCACGCCCTAGGCTGTAGGCGGTGCCAAACTGCTACGCCACCGGGGCTGCCCTAGTTCTTGTATAGTTAACACGTAATGTTATATTAGTTTCAGTGCATCATATAGTGATTTAGCAATTCTGTATATTACTCAGTGCTCATCAAGGTAAGTGTACTGTTAATCCTCTTCACCTATTTTACCCACCCCCCCATCCCCTCCCCTCTGGTCACCATCTGTTCTCTGTAGTTAAGAGTCTGTTTTGTGGTTTGTCTTTCTTTTCCTTTGTTTTGTTTCTTAAATTCCACATGTGAGTGGTGAACTCATATGGTATTTGACTTTCTCTGATTTATTTTGCGTAACATTATACTCTCTAGTTCCTTCAGTGTCATTGCAAATGGCAAGATTTCATTCCTTTTTTATGGCTGAGTAATAATCCACCCTGTATATGTGTGTATACATATGTGCACACATACCAAATCCTCTTTATACATTCATCTATGGATGGACACAGGCTGTTTCCATAATTTGGCTCTTGTAAATAATGCCTCAGTAAACATAGGGGTGTATATCCTTTCAAATTAGGGTTTGTGTATTCTTTGGGTAAATGCCCACTAGAGTGACTACTAGAACATGTTAGTTCTATTTTTATTTTTTATTTTTTTTTATTTTTAATTTTTTTAAAAAATTTATTCATTCAAGAGAGACAGAGAGAGAGGCAGGGAAACACAGGCAGAGGGAGAAGCGGGCTCCATGCAGGGAGCCAGATGTGGGACTCGATCCCAGGTGTCCAGGATCACACGTTGGGCCAAAGACAGGCGCTAAACCACTGAGCCACCCAGGGATCCCCTATTTTTAATTTTCCGAACAACCTCCATACTGTTTTCCACAGTGGCTGCACCAGTTTGTATTCCCACCAACAGTGCACCAGGGTTCCTTTTTCTCCACATCCTTGATAACACATGTTGTTCCTTGTGTTTTTTATTTTAGCCATTCTGACAGGTGTGAGGTGATATCTTACTGTGGTTTTGATTTGCTTTTTCCTGATGATGAGTAAGTAATACTGAGTTGGCCTTTCATGTGTCTGTTGGCCATCTGGATATTTTCTTTAGAGAAATGTCTGTTGATGTCTTCTGCTCATTTTTAAATTGGATTGTTTGGGTTTTGGGTGTTGAGTTGTATATTCTTTATATCTTTTGAGTACTAACCCCTTATTGGATATGTCATTTGCAAATATCTTCTCCCATTCAGTAGCTTGCCTTTTAGTTTTGTTGATCACTTATGCGCAGAAGCTTTTTATTTTGAAGTAGTCCCAATAGTTTATTTTTACTTTCATTTCCCTTGCCTCAGGAAACATATCTAGAAAAATGTTATTATGGCCAATGTCAGGGAAATGACTACCTGTGTTCTCTTCTAGGATTCTTACAGTTTCAGGTATCACATTTAGATACTTTTTCTTTTTAGATTGCTTTGGCTGCTCAAGGTCTTTTGTGGTTCCATACAAAATTTAGGATGGTTTGTTCCAGTTCTGTGAAAAATGCTGTTGATATTTTGATAGGGATTGCATTAAATCTGTAGATTGTGGGGCACCTAGACTGGCTCAGTGGTTGAGCATCTGCCTTTGGCTCAGGTTGTGATCCCCGGGTCCTGGGATAGAGTCCCACATCAGGCTCCTGCAGGGAGCCTGCTTCTCTCTCTGCCTCTCTCTGTGTCTCTCATGAATAAATAAATAAAGTCTTTAAAAAATATATGTAGGTTGCTTTTGGAGTAGTATGGACATTTTAACAATGTTTGTTTTTACAATCTGTTATCATGGGATATCTTTCTATTTGATTGTATTGACTTCAGGTTCTTTCATCAGTATTTTATAATTTTCAGAGTACAGGTCTTTCACCTCTTTGGTTAAGTTTATCCCTAGGTATTTTATTTTCTTTGGTTCAATTGTAAATGGGATTGTTTTCTTAATTTCTCTTTCTGCTGATTCCTTATTAGTATATACAAATGCAATGGATTTCTGTACATTGATTTTGTATTCTGAAACCATACTGAATTCATAGTAGGTTTTTGGTGGTCTTTAGGGTTTTCTGTACATAGTATGACATCATCTGGGAACAGTGCATGTTCTTCCTCCTTACCAATTTGGATGCCTGTTATTTCTTTTTCTTGTCTGATTGCTGTTGCTAGAACTTCCAGTACTATGTTGAACAGAAGTGGTGAGTGTGGACATCCTTGTCTTGCTCCTGATCTTAGGGGAAAAGCTCTCATTTTTCCACATTGAATATGATGTTAGCTCTGGGTTTTTAATTTTATTATTTTTAAAAAATATTTATTTATTAGAGAAAGCACATGTGCGAGTGGAGGGAGAGGGAGAGGGAGAGAATCTCCAAGCATAATCCTTGCTGAGTGTGAAGCTTGACACAGGGCTTGAGCCCATGACCCACGAGATCATGGCCTGAGCCTAAACCAAGAGTTGGAGGCTCAATCAGCTGAGCCACCCAAGCACTGCAGCTGCAGGTTTTTAATATATGGTCTTTACTATGTTGAGGTATGTTCCCTCTGAACCTACTTTGCTGAAGGTTTTTACCATGAGTGGATGTGGTACTTTGTCACATGATTTTTCTGCATCTATTGAAATGGTCATAAGATTTTTATCATTTCTCTTATTGATATGATGTATCATGTGGATGGATTTGTTAATATCAACCCACTCAGACATCCCAGCAGTAAATCCCTGACCAGAGCTATCCCTGAAAGGTATTGCCAATTAAGAGAAGGTAGTACATTTTCTATCATTTTTTAGGTTTGGATTTCTAAGATTTCTCTTTGGATATTTGGAATCTCTTTTAGGTAAACAGTGGTAATTTGAGCAAACTGTTCCAGAGAGGTTAACGGTATCTGAGAGATGTTTGTGACTGTGGTATTGGCAGTCCAACTTTCCATGGAAATGAAGCAACTTTGCTATCTACTGTGGCCAAGGATTGTGCAGCTCCCTAACACCACAGCTGCATGAGCTAATCCATCCACCTTCCTACCTACCTACTTATCCATCCATCCATCCATCCATCCAGTTAACATTTACTAGTACCTATTGTCTGTTAGACCCTGTGTAATTGGTGGATACACAATGGAAAACAGAATAGTCACCATCTTTATCTGTAAGCTTATGGTATATTGGTGAGGAAATCAAATAAAAAGTCCTTTGCAACACAGTGTGAATCTCATGCTATCAGAAGTAGCGTAGGATTATGAATGAATAGAGGTCTACCCTGATAATTAATCCAAACAGTGCTCACTTCATCCAATCCTTTTTCTATATAGATGGCCTTCCTCAGTTTTCTTTCTTCCTCTTGCTCCCAAATAACCATTCTCTCTTACTCAGTTAACTTTAAGATGAATAATAAGTGAGGGAGTAACAGGAATATAAAATTCTTACTCTATATAAA